GGGCAACCCTCAGAAGTTGTCAGATTGAAAAAACCCTATGTCAGGAATGAGCCAGAGCGCGGAGTCTCTAACCCCCCCCTCTTACCTCTCTTATTCCTCTTCCTTTTCTTTTTCCCTTTCTAGACTTCTTAGTCCTCTTATTATTTCTATAGCCATATTATAACAAATTCAGGGTTAATGACTATGTTCATGCCACTTAAGGTGTGATCCCCTTATCTGAGGGGGAGGTAGCCCACATTGACGGGCGCATATGGCAGATATTGCGCTTACAAGGTGAACATTATCTCATATTGTAAAGTAATACATACTATGCCGTTTATCTGTGATTTTATAGCGATTATATTGTCAAGGTGTAATGGTTTTTGGAATTGTACTTTTCTTTGTCTTGTGTAAACCTTTTCAATAAACATTGGAAACAGAAAAAACACTGGCAGGAAGACCCTAGAAGTCTCTTCTATCATAAATGTCCCCCCTGCCTGACAGCAGGTAATGTGATCTGAGCCACACATGAGCAGTGCAGATCAGCAACTCATAGCGGGACTGCGGGACTGCAGCAGGCATTCTGACACTGGAGGGGAACTGTCTAACTTACTTACATCCTTAGTGATATCAATACAGTGATCAGTGCTAATAAAAAGCACTGACACTGCACTAATGGAACTGGGCAGGAAGGGGTTAACATCTGGGGCGATCAAAGGGTTAACTGTGTGCTGTTTACACAGTATGCTGTGTGTATGTTTCACTGTAAGCACACTGCTTTGTATGGCTCTGCTATGCAGAGCCATACAAAGCAGTATGCAGGAGCTGACATACAGTTTGTTTATATACAGTTCTCTCCCCCATCGGTAATACTCGGCGATCACCGGGTGCCGGCAAGTAAATACCGGCTGAGGCCGCAAATGGCGAGGCTCGCGCACGCCCCTTACTCAGAACTGCAAAATCACATATATATACATGATTTGGCAACCTGTGCTACCCTGTAGCAGTATTTCTACTATAGGGCGGACTGGAAGTGGTTAAGTAATGCCTATGCCTCTCATGCTGATTTTTTATTAATTTTTTTTAAGGTAGACCTAAAAGGTAAAACCTAGGCTTTGAAGGCAGGCTAAGTTCACTTTTTTAAAACGATAATAAATGCATTTATTTTTCTGGTAAACAAAAAAAAGTACATTTATTATTTTCTTTTCAGGAGCCTGCAGAGCAATGCACCCACGATCACCAGATCGTGGGTGCAATGTCAGGCTCCTGCAGACACTGCCTACAGATTTCTACCCGTACCTCTGTATGGGCTTTCTGTTTGAAAGCTATAAGAAGTGTCAATGAACTGTAAGAGCACTCATCAGCGTTCTCTCAGTTCATTAAGAACTACAAGCTGTCTGCCGCGGTGGCAGATGGGACCTGTCACAGCCGCACTGTTTTTAAATTGTGACAGCGGGTGTTGCTGGGGGGGGGTATCGCAGGGTGTGGAGGGTGCTATAAATAGAGGTGTAGCATCTTACTAAACGTGAACATAGCCTTTAACACCGTCTGAGCAAAAAATAAAATCGCATTGTCCATTTTACTGTATTTGGACTTTTACAGGCAGCCCATGATGACTGCAGTATGTTCTAGGCACAAGATGAGGGGCCTCCTGAATTGATAAAACCTGGCTATTTTGTGTTGTGGTTCCTGTGTTTCTCCTCTCCAGCAAGCAGCATGATAAAAAAAGAAGCAGGGTTTGTGTTTGATGTGTTCATGCGTACACGGATATCCTACTAGTAATGCCTCTAGTTACCAAACACCAAAAACATAAAAACATTGAAAGCAGGATATTGATTCCCATGGGAGAGCTGAGTTAAATGTTCTCACTTCCTGCTCTGCTTTTCTCTCTCAGTATCTTGTTTATATCTCTCTGATCTCATTGTGCTGGTAAGTCAGATGAACAATTTAAGAAAATTCAGCATTTCAGGAGTCAGTCTACAATACATGAAGCAATCAAGATGTATAACACCTTTCACTAAAAGATTCAAGACTAATTGTGAGGAACAGTAGCTGTTCTCAGAGAAGAGTGGCAATAATGCTATCCTGTACACTTGCCTAGGACGGTTCACACTTGTGTGGATTTCAGTGTGTTTTCCAGTTTGCTGAATCGCACTACAGTTCATTTCACATTATTTCCTATGGATCTAGTTAACATCTGAAGCCGGTGCGGATTTTTGAAAGGGTCAGGGACTTTTATTCCCACAGCAGATTGCCTTTTGCGTGTAATAGAATGGAACTGCCCCAAAAATGCTAGTATTGAATTTTTAATGTGTTTTTTATGCATTTTGCGTGTTTTGTGTGACATTAGGCTGGTTGTTAACCACATCCATGCCGCCCTGCTACAGGGTGGCAGACGTGCGCAAAATCACACATATATACGTGATTTTGCATCTCCAGGTAGGGGGCACACGCGCGCGCGCGCCGTAGCCTTGTCATGGCTGTCAATCACCGGGTCCCGGCCAGTGATTACTCGCCGGCGCCTGGTGATTATTGAGGATCTCCAATGGGGAGGAGAACTGTTTTATTTACTAACAATTTCCTCCCTGTCAGCTTGAGCACACTGCTTTGGATGGCTGTGCACAGCACAGCCATCCAAAGCAGTGTGCTTACAGTGAAGCACACAGACACGGCCCCCTAGTAAAACACACCCAGCACACAGTTAACCCTTTGATCGCCCCTCATGTTAATCCCTTCCTGCCCAGTGCCATTACTACCGTGTCAGTGCTTTTTTTTTAGCACTGATCACTGTATTGATGTCAATGGGGATGTCAGTGACACCAAGTCAGTTTCCCCCAGTGTCACAATGCCTGCCGCAGTCTCGCTATCAGTCACTGATCGCCGCCATTATTAGTAAAAAAAAAAAAATTCCAGTATCTATACTGCCATTTGTGAACACTATAACTTTCACGTAAACCAATTAATTTACACGTATTGGGATTTTCTTTTAGCAAAGACATGTAGCAGAATACATTTTGGCCTAAATTTATAACTAAATTAGATTTTTTAATTTTTTTACTGCACATGTTTAATAGCAAAAAGTAAAAAATATTGTTTTTTTTTTCTCAAAATTGTCAGTCTTTTTTTTATAGCGCAAAAAATAAAAAACGCACAGGCGATCAAATACCACTGAAAGAAAGCTCAATTCATGGGAAAAAGAAGGATGTAAATTTCATTTGGGCGCAGCGTTGCATGACTGCGGAATTGTCAGTTAAAGTAACGCAGTGCCGTAATGCAAAAAATGGCCTGGTCAGGAAGGGGGGTAAATCCTCAGGAGGGCAAGTGTTTAAGGAGCAGGTTCCCAACTGACAGCTGAATATAAACAAATCTATTGCCGGCAATTAAACAAAAAATCATCACATTTTTTTTAAAAAGTGTTGTGGGGTCGTGGGGAAGAGGCTCTTGTCGTCATCAACGCCCCCATGTTGAGGGCATGTGGCCTGGTATGGTTCAGGAGGGGAGGTGCTCAATCCTTCCCCCACTTTCCTGACCTACCAGGCTGCATGCTCGGATAAGGGTCTGGTATGGATTTTGGGGGGACCCCACGCCATTTTTATAGAAAAAAAAATTTCAAATGTTTTTTTTTATTTGCGTTGAACAGGTTTATATTCAGCTGTCAGCAGGCAACCCTGCTGACAGCTGATGACTCACCGGTTGTCAAGGATGCCATGGTCAGCCGCTCCTTCACAACCAGGTAAAGTCATACAAAACACAAAATGCATAGAAAAATGCACAAAAAGCACAGCAGAAACCACGGGGCCCCATACAGTCGACCTGACAGGACCCCCCCCCCCAAAAAAAAAAATGTTTACTATGCTTCAGTTATGAAGGAACACAGTGAGTACTTGGTACCAATAATACATTGTGTTCATTCAGGAAAGGAAGGGGCTGGTAAATGTGACCCGTGGGAGAGAAGAAGAAGCCAGCTTTCAGCTATTGCAGAGAGAACTATACAGGGGAACAGTTACAGCAATTGCCCCCCCCCCCACCGCTGCACCCATCATCCCCCTGCTCACATTCGATTCACCCAGCTGCCTGGGCCCCCTTACTGGCCTGGGCCCCATACAGGAGGATTGGTGGTACCCCTTATCCACAGCCCCACAGCCACCACATCTAGACCAGTATCCTTGGATTTAGATACAGTGGATAAGAAAAGTCTACACACCCCTGTTAAAATGGCAGGTTTCTGTGATGTAAAGCCCTTTAACAGGGGTGTGTAGACTTTTTATATCCAGTGTACGCTTGAAATGCAGGGACTTTAACCTTCCTGGCGGTATGATTATTTCAGATTTTTGGTGCTGAAAGCGGTACCATTTTTTTGCATGGAAATATGGTTTTTTTTTTATTGTAGGGCTGTAATTTTTAGGAATAACTCACTGAAATCTGTCCGAACAAGAGTCTAGTAAACATTCCGGGTATGATAAAACTTGAAACACGAAATCATAAATTATAATTTAATAAATAATCATAAAAATATTAATATAATAATAAATAAATTTAATTTAATAATATAATCAAACCAAAAACACTTAAATTTGAAATATAGCGCCAAGCTCGCACATCACTGAGCAAAGTCGCAAAATCGTTTTCACTGTTTGATGACGAATTTCCCCACAAATCATTATCACTCAATTCTGCAAGTGGTTCTGATTTACTATCGCTGTTCTCTAGCTGGTCTAAAACTGCTTTTGACCTAAAGGGACGCTTTTTGGACGCCATGGACGTTTCTCAGTTTCCAGGCAATAAGAACAGTAAAAATGCAGGCAGATCACAGGACAAAGCACTCGGGACAAAATGTATGTGAAATGGTTTGATACAGTAATGAATACTATGTGATTTTAGTGATTTTAGTGAATGTCACTTTTTGTCATTTTTAAATTTCCCGCCGTGACCGTATGTCCCGACGCTCACAGGGGACGGAACCCAGATGACAGATGCTGTCATCCGCCGGATTACATTGTCGGGGACACTGCAGGAGGGACATCGTGGGAGCGCAGGACAAGGTAAGTGATACAGGGATCGTGGAGCAGCGCCGCATGGTATTCCCGAGTGTAGCTCGGGGTTACCGCTTGTGGTACTGAAACCTTACCCCGAGCTACACTCGGGAATACCGCCAGGGAGGTTAAGATGCTGATCTGGTGTCAACCTCTTGAAGTCGCTGTTCAGCGGTGCTGAAGTGCTAGAGCAAGAAGAAGCAAATGCCTCTACAGTGCTCCTCTGAGAAAGGGACAACGTTCCATATCACCAAATTCACTCAATGTATACAGTATTTATACTGTATATTTATATATATATATATATATATATATATATATATATATACAGTATGTATATGTGTGTGTGTGTGTGTGTGTGTGTGTATAGGCACCTAAAATATGTAAAAGTGATATGCTTCACACATTTTCTGAACTCTAAATAGTTTTTAATGGATGCCTTTTAGATTCCCATCAGGAATGTCACACGAGTTAACTTAGTACATGAGATGAGTGAGTTGTTTACTGGCATTGCTGAAAATATGTAGTAAATATGTAATATGTAGCATTCGAGCACTCGGCACTGCCTGAGGGCCCGGGGTCAGTAGGGGGCCCCATGAAATACCCCTGGTACCTTTCTTATAGGCTTTTTTGGGTGTGCTTTGAGTGTGGGCAAGGACACAGGGGCCCCATTTTCCCCTATTGCCTGGGGGCCCCATGAGTTGTCAGTCCGCCCCTGGTAGTAACCCATCAGTATTCAGCTGTGAGCCACAAACAGGCTGTAATTGTTTTAGGGATATCTCCAATTTACTTCATCCTAATGAATTCAGCCTTCTTACTTAAAAGGAACCTGTCAGGATACAAATATGGCGTTGCCAACTTGTTTTTAAAGGGGTAAGCTCCAAAGCTGTAGTCACAATTCTGTCTTCACTGGTCAGATAGTCACAAACTTGGAACAAGTATTGAGGACATGAGTTAACCCTTTTCAGACTGGCAGCAAGCTTGTACTAGGCCAGTAACTCAATAGGTAGGAAAGCCAGAATCAGGATGACAATCCTGCATCATGAACCTTTAAAGCAAAACTAGAGGCAAAATGTTTTTCATTTCGGAAAGAGTAACGGAGGGTTATAACGCAGGTTTTTTTTTCGCCATCTCAGTCCCTTTAAGGACATTTCCCTTCATGTCCTGTCTCATAGCCAAAACAGGAAGTGAAGTTAGAGAAAATCCCTCCAAACTGAGGAAATCCCTGGTTGTCACAAGGGTCACCAGAACTAGTATCCACATGGGAATATCACTATCTAGTCTTCATCTTTGATTGCCATGCTGCCAGGCTGTAACTTCACTTCTCTGCGAACAGCCAAGAGCCTGTGCAAGAATCCTGTTCCTAGGAGGCTGTGCTATCCATGGGATTAGTGATTGGGATGCCCCAACCTCTTTCTGACAGCACTCAAAAGCCACTGCATGCAGACAGTAGAGCTGATTCACAAATATGCGTTCCAGATTTCAAGGTCCAGCTTCAGTGTGGATTGCAATGTACTTGTTCAGCAGTTCAGGGCCAGTTCAGGACTGATGTTTGTGATACAGCTTGTGATACCCAAGCTTGGGTTCACACAGGAGCATTGGGGAAATCGCTTGCAAATTGGATAGGAATTGCATTCCTGTTCAAATCACATGCCATTATTTGCGGTGCAGTTTGTGTCCATACATTTTTTATTGATGCAAATCGCACCACAAAGTAACAGTACTCAGTATTTGTGAGTACTTGACTAAAAGTACCGATCAAAGATGGGCATTGGTGCATCCCTAATTATTATTTCATGTCATGAGGTTTGGATGTGGGTCAAACCACAGCTAATCTGCATATATATGTGAACCGGCACTTATACCTCAGTACCAACAGACCTTTGCTTTGAGCATTTACCACAGCCTATCTGTTATCTTCATTGAATTACCATTACTGACTACTGTATATTGGTCCCACCATTGCTAGCAGAAGACTACAGCTGCTATCACATCAGGAACTTTAAACATCTCAGGACTCAAGTTGCTATTTCTAGTTAAAGGGACCTCTTCCCATCTAAGCCATTGCTCTTCAAATTAGGGTGTCTATACCCATTTATGCCAGAGCATATATACATGCAGTTACATAATTACAAAATACCATTTGTGACTGTATATTCTGTTAACTGTTGCTTTATGGTTATTTCCATTTTATCAGTGTTTTGCTTTTATGGGTTAACTGGGGATGTACTCCTAAACCTTCATTCTGTGGTCTATTTTTTGAACGAGCCTAAGATAGAGGTGTTACTAAAGAATCAGGTCTCTTCTGATTATTTCTTACTGTTGAAATATGTCTGAACCCAGAGTGTCAGAAGTGTCAGGAGTCTCTGCACCAGAAGTCTCTACACCAGTAGAGCTTGCACTCTAATGTCTCACCAATACTGAAGCATTTCTAGCAAGATAGACTCAACGAATACAATACACTATTTGAAAGACTCAGAAGACCTTTAAAGCAGAACTACACAGCATATGAGCACCACAACCCAAAAAAGCTGTTTGGTTAATTTGTAATATTCAAAGCAAACTTACCCCTCCATCTCTCCGTGCTTTAATTTGCTGAGAAACATATTTGAAAAACACCACCTAGCATTTCTGGCCACAGTCATCTTGAGTAGGGTTTGATTAATCATGTTGCATTTACTTCCTGGGATCCGTCTGCCCTTAGCTCAGAGATACTGGCAAGAGGGTGTGCTTAGCTGAGAAAACCCCTCCTCCCCTCCTGGGATGTATGATTTAATTTGCTTAGACCTGGAACCCAGGAAGTAACTGAAGAAATGTAAAAAAAAAAAGGTTAAAACAAGTAAATGTGATATACTTTACTGTGTATTTACTAATGCTAGTAACATAAGGATTAATATCTCTCAATCAAAATTGACTATTTTTAGATTTAACCTTCCTGGCGGTATTCCCGAGTGTAGCTCGGGGTAAAATATCAGTACCAAAAGCGGTAACCCTGAGCTACACTCGGGCTTACCATGCGGCGCTGCATAGGGAGTCCCTGCAGAGCTTACCTTGTCCTTCGCTCCCGTGATGTGTCCCCTGCAGAGTCCCCGGCCATCTCCTCCGGCCGATGCCGGCATCCGGCTTCTGTGTTCCGGTCCCTGTGACGTCGGGACGTATGGGTGCCGCCGGCGGTGGTAAGAAATTTGAAAATTTTAAAAAATTTAATTTTTTTCCAAACAAATTTTACATAGCAAAACATTGCTGTTTCAACCCATTTCACATACATTTTGTCCCTAGTGCTTTGTCCTGTGCCCTGCCTGCATTTTGTCTGTTCTTTCTGCCTGGAAACTGATTAAAGTCCATGGCGTCCAAAAAGTGTCCCTTTAGGTCAAAAGCGGGTTTAGATCAGCTAGAGAACAGCGATAGTAAATCAGAACCACTTGCAGAATTGAGTGATAATGATTTGTGGGGAAATTCGTCATGAGACACTGAAAACGATTTTGCGACTGCTCAGCAATGTGCGAACTTGGCGCTCTATTTCAAATTTCAGTGTTTTTGGTTTGATTATATTATTGAATTAAATGTATTATTATTATATTATTATTTTTTATGATTATTTATTAAATTATAATTTATGATTTCGTGTTTCAAATTTTATCATACCTGGGATGTTTACTAGACTCTTGTTCAGACAGATTTCAGTGAGTTATTCCTAAAAATTACAGCCTACAATAAAAAAACTATATATTTCCATGCAAAATAATGGTACCGCTTTCAGCACCAAAAATCTGAAATAATCAGACCGCTAGGGAGGTTAAAGTGATAATAAAGACTTTTTAAAATTTAATTCAAGTTGTACCTGTTTATTAGCCACTTATTCAGTACATCATTCTAAAAAAACACTGACCAAAGGATTTTTCTCAGCTCCAGCAGCAGAGGGCAGGAATCTCAAAGTGCAGATCTCAGTGAGGAGAGTTCTGATCCCTGATTGGAGGGAGGGGACCCCCCCCTTCTCACAGGGAAGGGAAACCCCCCCCCCCTTTCTCACAGGACATGGAGAACATGCAGAGCTAAGGTTTTAGTCACGGGCTGTTTGCTGGAGCTCTCCTCTCCAGTCATCTGTTGGTGTTAAGTAAACCTGTCACAATGCTGATAACAAAGGAACAAAGTGGGAAAGAGCTCTGGATAGAGGCAAGTACACAGTATAGAAGGATGTGCTTTGTTCATATTTCATGTCTGAGGTCACAACCACTTTAAGTGACTAAAAAATATGGTAGGCAATTCAGAACAAAATGGTGTAAAGTAGGGTTTTCATTCATCATTTAAGGCCACCTAACACACATGTGGTGATAAAAGGGTAGGCTTTACAGCCATCATGCCACACATATGCACCGCTGGTCAATGATTCTGTTGAGAGCACGATCACAGCACAGAGACTGAGCTATGAAAGACAGCCCTTGGTCCCCGGTAATGATCAGTAGCCACGGTAGTCACATGATCAGCCAATGTTCCTTTTAACGGTTTGCAAAGGAGAAATATTGGGCTTTTCAGAAAACCATGGTTGAATGCAGTCAGAATTGGAAACATAAAAATTTCTAAAAAGTTTCTAAATTGATACAAAGATAAATACAGTATACTGCTCCAGGTCAGTCCAAACAGAGTGGTCTGACTCGGACCGCTATCACTGGAAGAAATGGAGGTGGATGACTGCACTCCTAAAGTCCAACTTCTTTAGTATAACAAATTAACAGATTGACAACAACACAAACACACAGGGAACAAGGTTGCCGCTTTTCATGTCACAAATGCTTAATCATAAATTGTTTCTAGCAATGAATTAAAAGAGACCTTATAGTAATTTCATATTTTACATCTAATGTTAGCAAAAAATCTGGAACATTGGAATTCCCAAAAATATTAGTTACATTTTAATATTTACCATTTACAGCCTTTAGGTGGTGCAGTACAGGCTGCTGACCCCTTTTTTAAGGTGACAGAGTACAGTAGTAAAATGACATCCAGTCTCAGTGAAGGAATCTGACTCCAGGTTTAATGCAATGATATATTAATAAGCTAGTCTGAGTAAGTTGATATCCTGCTATTCAGGTCTATGAACAACACACAACTGAATGAGTAATCAGAGGTATGCAGCAAGTGGAAAGGCAAAGCTGGACTACATTGAAGATCCCAGCATACTCACATATTCTCCTACATGACGGGCTCACCTTGCGTGAAATGTTATTTTCAAAATAAAGATTCCAGATAAGTAATGAAAAAATATATTAAAACTCACTTTGTAAATTTGTTAACATTGAAATAAAACTAAAATAACGAGGGTCAAAATCTTTGTAGTCTTTCAAAGTCCATTTTCATGTTAACTTTGGCCTGATATTTTGGGATCAAAGGATTTGTTTATAAAAAAACAGGATGAGTCGATGCAGGATCCTGAAGGCGAATTGTGTAAGAGGAAAAAATATTGCAGAAAACCTATTTATCCCATTCCTACAAAGATTGGTAAGTCAGCTTTTACTGTTTCTTATGATCTCACATTGTGTTTTCATAGATAAAATCTGATATTTGAAAGTCTGAAGGTAAACAGGAGCAAGCAGCATTGAGATTAGTTATAGATGTGCATTGGTATAGGTGTCATAGGTGTTCTAATTGTATCTCTACACGACTACAAATTTCTGTGAGCACTGTATCTACTAACATTTTCCAACTATGACACTCAGTATGTGAACAATAACTGCAAAGATGCAAAAAATGCGCAAAAACATGCACGATAAAAAGCATGATCATGCGGCGCACACATGTTGATGGGGTGTAAGTGTCTTGAAGCTTACTGAAAGCCTACTGAATGTTGCTAAAAGCTGAAGTTCAGGTTTCTTGTCTATTTATTTCAGGTACTTATATAATGATGTCAATTTACACAGTGCTTTACATATATATTGTACATTCACATCAGTCTCTAACCCTCAAGGGGTGTACAGTCTAGGGTCCCTATCTCACATTCATACATACACATACTAGGGCCATTTTAGACAGGATCCAATTAACCTACCAGCATGTCTTTGGGGTGTGGGAGAGTACCTGGAGGAAACCCACACAGGCACAGGGAGAGCATGCAGACTCCAGACAGGAGCTGCCGTGTCTGGGATTTGAGCCAATGACCCTAGTGCTGCGAGGTGGAGGTGCTGACCATTTAGCCACTGTGCTGCCCCCTCTAAAGCTGATATATAAGTATGGCACTTTTTATGTCGTTACATTGGGCCATATTTATTACTACAGATATGTAGTAAAGCAAAAGACATGACAAATTAGTAATATTTCAACTGTAATATCTTGAATGGGTCTTGTTTGGCAGTGATACTGTCTGCTTCCTTCGTGACTTAAGCTAGAGGCAGTAAAACATGACTCAACTATGTGCTTCTAGGCCTCATGCACAAGAGTGTTTGCCCATCTCTCTTATTATTATTATGTACAGGATTTATATAGCACCAACAGTTTGCGCAGCGCTTTACAATATAAGGGAGACAGTTCAATTACAATACATTTAAGCACAGAAGGAACAGGAGGGCCCTGCTCGTGGAGATTCAAGTACAGTTCTTAAGTGATAGCTGCGTGGGATCTGGTGGAGGTGATTCTCTGAAGAAGAAGTGAGTTTTCAAAGATCACCTAACGGCAGACAGGGTGGGGGCTGACCAGACATACTGTGGTAGGGAGCTCCAGAGGATGGGAGAGGCTCTGGAGAAGTCCTTAAGGCGAGTGTGGGAGGAGGTGATGTGGGAGCTAGAGAGGAGGATATCATGGTAGGAGCGGAGAGGGTGATTTGGGTGATATCTGTGGATGAGGTTGGTGATGTAGCTAGGGGCAGTGTTGTGGATGGCTTTGTTAGCTGTGGTTAGTATTTTGAATTTTAGTTAGTGGAGAGGGGCAGCAATCGCTGATCGGTTGGTAAGGTGTAAGAGTCTAGCAGCAGTATTCATATAGACTGAAGGGGGGATAGACCTGGGTAATGGTAGACCGGTGAGGAAGGAGTTGCAGTAATCAAGGCCGCATAAAACCAAGGCATGGATAAGTTGTTTTGTGGTGTCATTGGTCAGAAAGGGGTGGATTTTGGAAATGTTCTGGAGGTTGAGGCAGCAGGATTTAGCCAGTGAGTGGATGTGGGGCCCAAAGGAGAGGTCAGAGTCTAGGATTACGGCTAGCACCCTGGCATGAGGGGAAAGATCAATGGTTGTGCTGTTGATCTTAATGGTCTTAGACACCTTTCCTCCTGGCAGCAGTGTTTTGGCAGAAAAAATGCTTGTAAACCCGTGTAAACGTTTTAGGTGCCTCAAGCACTTGAGTGTTAATTAATTTAATTGGCCAGAATAATAATTTATTCTGGTAATTGAAATGAGGTAATGCCCAAGCTCTTGATGCACCTAAAGTTAACAGGCGCTTAGACATATTTATATGCCAAAACGCTGTTGCTCCTGAACGTGCTGGCGGTCGTTTTTTTTTTCTGCCTCTTAACACTTATGTGTGCATGGACACATGAGGGTTTATTTACTAAAGCTGGAGAGTGCAAAATCAGGTGCACTTCTGCGTAGAAACCAATCAGCTTCCAGGAAACTGTGAGAGCCTTCCAGAACATAGTAGGGGCTAGGCAAATGCACAGCATGAATATGGATACAGCCCTGGTGAAATGCAGGAGAGGGTTGCCCCATTGAATGCTGGGAGTGGTATCTATATTCTGAGAGCACATGAGGTCAGTGTCTTCCCGGGAGTGATTGCACCAAGCCAGGCTGGAGGCAGGTTGCCTCACCTGGCACTTGCTGCCATGTGGCCTCATGTGGGCTGAAGGCCTGATGTTACTGAGAATGACCCTGGTTATTCAGTAAGCTGACTAAGGGCAGCTGTCTGCCAAAGCTCTGTCTGGTACCACTGGAGGGTTTCTCTTGGAAGATTTTAAGGAGGCTACCATTCTATGCTTGGGCCTTGTGACTACAGACACTGAGAGACCTTGGGGACTCTGTGTGCTTGCTACCCTCTGGTGCTTGATAGTCAGCGTGGGTCTGAGAAAGGGAACACTGGCTAGTGTTCTGAAGAGCTTGTCCAAGTGTTGCTGCTGCAAAGGGATTCTGCTCAGCTATGTTACCTTTGGGCTGTTGCAGTCTGTCGTAACTGGCTTATACCTGAGGAGCTCAGCCTTGTAACTACTACTACTGCAAAAAGG